GTCGCATTAAAAAAAAATCGAATACACTTCTTCCATTTCCAATATATATGCATATATATATATATATAATATATATATATATATATATATATATATATATATATATATATATATATATAATAATATATTATATATATATATATATATATATATATATATATATATATATATATATATATATATATATATATATACTATGTATAGATTTATATATTCATATGAAATACCAAAAGGAATAATATGAATGAAATAACAAAATATTGGCCCCTATCATCATTAGTCTAAAAATAACTACTATCATATTTGTGCTTATCATAACTAGGTTCTGTTTGATGCAGGAATTAAATGTTATCATCATGGGCAGATCATTTATATTATTCATGGAGCTTTGAACCAAAGGCTTGACAATTAACCCGTCCTTAAAAAAAATAATTTTCTGCCTTGACAATTTAGCCCTATTCTTTCCTGTTACCTTTTTGTCCATCTGTCGTTCTGACTTGGACCTGCCCACCGCCATTTCTTCCTTTAATGCTCCTGTTTGTCTTCCACTTTGGTCTGTTTATACACATATACACATGTTTATATATGTATATATATATTATATATATATTGTATATACATATATATGATACATATATAATCATACATATACTCTTATACGCATGTGTCAACACAAATAGTTATATCTGCATACGCTCGAAATTGTATAAAAAATGTCCTCTGCTATTCAATGTTATGAATCTTGCTTTTGGTAAATTATTCTATATCTAGTCATGCTATTATAGCGATATTTCTGTTAAATGAGAGTAAATCTTTTAAAGGTAATTCAGGATCTAGTTTCAATTATTGGCCAAATTTATTGATGATTATGAATAGGATTATTTTTCTTAGAATGATTTATCTTCGGGGCGTCCAAACTGCTCGTTGGTGTAGAAGTAGTTGGAGGATTCCTGGCAGGGGATGGCGGACGACTCCGCTACGCAAGCCAGCTCCTTCTGGTCGAACACCGAACCCTCGCCGCACATGAAGCTGTGAAGAGAAACATAGATTTAGATACTTGAAAAATGCTCAGCAAAATATTCTCAAAGTATCATTTGCTGGGAGTTTTCATATATTTCTGTTTGATTATATGATAATGAGGTCACTTACCTGTACTGGTAGGTTTCGACGGCGCCGTTGGAGAAGAGCGTCGGGTTGCACACGTGGAAGACACGGCACGAGTTGTCCTGGTCAGCGTAGTAGCCGTAGGGACGGTCGAGGCAGCTGAAGGCGCTGGTGATGCCTCCCAGTAAGGCACTGGCGCCGGAGGAAGGTTCAGAGGCTCGAAGACTCCGCTGACGGAGTCGCTGGAGGATTGAAGGAAGGAGGTGGTCTGAGAGTTCTGAGAGAAACGGTTGGAATCCTGGTTGTTGAAGGTGGATTGGAATCGGTTGTTGGAATTCTGGTTGTTGAAGGTGGACTGGAATCGATCGTTGGAATTCTGGTTGTTGAAGTTGGACTGGAATTGGTTGGGTTGTTGAAACTGGAATTGGTTGTTGGAATCCTGCTGATTAAAGCTGACTGGAAACCACTAGAAGAACGTTGCTGGAACTGACCACCAAGGTTCTGTTGGTTGTTGAATGTGGAGAATGTGGAAGCAGAGTTCCTTTGGTTGTCGAAGGTCTGGAAAGAGTTGTCCTGTTGGTTGGCGGACTGGAATCGGCTTCCGGAATTAATCTGATTGGCGTTGGTCTGGAATCGGTTGTCGGAACCAAACTGACTGGAACCTGACTGGAAGAAGCGGTTGGCAGACTGAGCGTTTGAGTTCTGCTGGAATGGACTTGTGTTCTGCTGGAAGGCGTTGGAGTCGAAGGAGTTCTGCTGGAAGGAACCAGTCTGGAACTGGTTGCGGTTGGTGGCAGCATTCCTTTGGAGCTGGTTGCTGTTCTGGAAGAGTCCAGACTGACGGAAGGTGTTGGCGTCTGAAGTGGCAGTCTGGAAAGAGTTCTGGAAGGAGTCGCCTTGCAGTCGGCCATTTGCGTTTTGGAAGGAAGCTGAGGTGAAGCTTCCACCCTGTGTGAAGTATCCGGGAGTGGCAAGGCGGACGGCAGTGTCATACTGCCTTTGCTGCTGGAACTGCTGGCCGACAGCGGCAGCTGCCAGCGTCACTGGAAATGCATTACGAGGGTAAATATCAGTTCATCTAATATGGCATTTTTAAATCTAAAAGGAAGACGATATACCTATTCACAAATCCCTGGTGTGAATAAACTGTTATATGTCTACTGGGCATGAAACAAGTATTGATATTTCATACAATAACTTTCAGGAAATAAGGAAAACCATTCCAACTCACCAATAACGAGAACCTTCATGTCTGTGGCGTGCGGAGGGTGCGTCCGACTATGACCTGTGTGCTATGCCTCGTCCTTATATAGTCCGGCTGTGAAGGGCGGGACACTCACTGTCAGAGGTCGGGGCAGGTCCTGGCAGGGGAGAAAGGAGCAGGCCGGCTATTTGTCACGCTATGATAGCTTGCGTTTTGAATGGATTGGACTAACACAACACTAAGCTTAAGAATATCAGCGCTATGGATATAGATGCGAAGTATCCTTGGTTTGTACGAACTGAAATTGATATGATTGTGATTGATAGGAACCAATATTGTTGCTTCTCATTAAATATCGTGTATAACTTCATTTGTGAATGAATACACGCATATATATATATATATATATATATATATATATATATATATATATATATATATATATATATATAATATATATGTATATATATATATTATATATATATATATATATATATATATATATATATATATATATATATATATATATATATATAATATATATATATATATATACTGTGTGTATGTGTATCTACGTATTATGTATTGATAAAGATAAAGATATGTTTGTATGATGTATATACACACAAATACACACACGCACATATATGTATACACACATGTATATATTTATTTATTTACGTACAAGAACACATAAACACATAGGCGCGCGTTTGCACAAACACATATGAATATACATTTGTGTGTGTGTTATGTATGTATGTATAAAGATAATGTATGTGTATAATGTACACACACACATGTGTGTATGCATATATGTATATATAGGTATATACATATATATGTATATATACTTGTGTGTGTAAATATAAGTATTTGAGTGTATATTATGTATGTATGTATAAAGATAAATGCATTTTTGTGTGTGCATGGTCAATGCACACACACACACACACACACACACACACACACACACACACACACACATACACATATATATATATATATATATATATATATATATATATATATATATATATATATATATATGTATGTATATTTACGTGCAGGAACTCATAAACATAGGCGCTCGGCCATGCACACGTACACATATGTGTGTGTGTATATATATACATGCATAATACATATATATATATATATATATATATATATATATATATATATATATATATATATATATACATTACATTCATAGTGTTTCACCTCTTGTAGACCAAAAAATAGATCTATTGAAATTCGTAAACAACTAATCTTTGATAGCGAGAAAGGACTACTAATACTGGACCTGCATAGCACCGCAATCTGCTCGTCCGTTTCACAAACCCTCTAAACTAACACGCAGGACAACGACCACTGAAACGCTTCAAGTTGTTCACGGAAATCCATGTACTTTCAGTAGTAATTTGATTCTGAAAATGTCTGATTATAGGCGGTAGTGGCGATATCTGAGTTTAAAGCAAAAGAAACATATTCATTCTTGATCTTTGACATACCTATGACGAATGAACCGGGCGTGAGACAATTCAAGTTATAGTAATTGCTTTATGTATCTAAATCTGTCGGCACACATTCGTGCAATCACACATACACTACATACACCCGATATCATAGATATAGATAAGATAAAATAGATATATAGATATATACTGTATGTAAACAAACACGTGTATGTACAAATCAATTTCATTGCAGTGTTTGTTGTTTCCAAGCCTATTCCCTACAACGAAGCTGGTTAAGCAACAACCGTAAGGAACTCAAGTGTTGTGCAACAGGTGAAGGGATGGACATTCTGTCACGTTTCCTGGGAAATAGGTTGTTGAAAGAATTTTTTATTCATTTCTGATTGTATATATATATATATATATATATATATATATATATATATATATATATATATATATATATATATATATATATTATATATATTAAGCACCGTTTTATGTTGTAACGCTAGAATTTATTACTTTTACATAGCCTTAAAATAGGTTTACAGAAATGAAAATTTTTCCTGTTATCGTCTCATCTGACATTTTTAATTGTCTGGCTTTGTTTTCATTTTATCACAATACAGAGGTACATGCTCAAAATGATGAAACACAGCATTTCTTTGGTTAATTTATTGGAAAATACACTTCATATACTGAAGGTACAGATAAGCTTCCTCCTTGTACTACGCAAGAAACAAAATAATCCGTCTTTGTAAAGGTGTGTCTTTGATTCTCTTAAAAAGATTTATCTTCGGGGCGTCCAAACTGCTCGTTGGTGTAGAAGTAGTTGGAGGATTCCTGGCAGGGGATGGCGGACGACTCTGCTACGCAAGCAGCTCCTTCTGGTCGAACACCGAACCCTCGCCGCACACATGAAGCTGTG